GCTAGTTGAATCGTTTTTTTTATTAGTAGTAGCATGCCATTTCTTATTAGGTCGCTAACTCTGACCGAAGTGTTGTTGGTTGTTTAATTAACAAGAACTTCAGGTTTTTAGCTTCGTCTCTTCAGTGCTGCCTGTTGTAAATGATGAAGATGATGAAAGTTTTTACTGATTGCTTGGGCGATTTCACATTGGTTTCACATAAGTCGTGTCCAGCCTTTTATCTTTCACTGAGGTTGATTTGGATTTGGAGAAATGTAGCATTACATCACTTGCTCAGCAATGGATCCTGTGCAGTGAATGGGTGCCGTCAGAATGAGAGTCCAAACAACTGATAAAAACATCACAATAATCCACAAGTAATACACCACTCCAGTCCATCAGTTAATGTCTTGTGAAGAGAAAAGTTGTGTGTTTGTAAGTTTTAACTTTAAAAACATCACCTCTGGCCAAAATATGAGTCCATAATCCATAATACTGGTGGAACACTGGTGAAAAAAGTCCATCCCCCTTTCCACCAACGTATTTGTTTAGAACTGTTTTGCTTGTAAACGGTGCTTGATCTGTGCATATTTATCCTGATTCAGACAAGATTACTTTTTTTTTCTTTTTTTTTAAACTGGAGAAAGCAATATTATGGACAGAGGACTCATATTTTAGCTGGAAGCAACAGATTGAAGTTAAAAGCATCTTAATTAATAATTTGTTTCTGGCAAACATGCAGCTTTTACCCTTACATTAACTGATGGACTGGAGATTACTTGTGGATTAGTTTGATGTTTTTATCATCTGATTGGACTTTCATTCTGATGGCACTCATTCACTGCAGAGGATCCATTGGTGAGTAAGTGATGCTTTGCTACATTTCTCCAAATTTGTTCCCATAAAGAAACAAAATCATCTGCATCTTGGATGGCCTGAGGGTGAGGACATTTTCAGCAGATTTTCATTTCTGAGTGATCAATTCATTTAAAAGCCAGTTCTAAAGACCTTTTGTTAATGGTAGTAAAGGCAAAGCAAACCTGTTTTGGATGAAAAAAAGTATTTATTGGATATTTTTCTATTCTTAGGTTTTACTCCAAGCACAGAAGGAGCTGCTGGATTGCAGTGGCACTGGGATAAGCATTCTTGGTAAGGATCTGCATTTTTAATGTTTTAATTTCTGTGTGTAATGCAATGTTTCTGAGGTGTTTATTTCTCTCTTGCATCCAGAAATGAGCCACAGATCGTCTGATTTCTCCAAGATTATAAACACTACTGAAAACCTTCTCCGTGAACTTCTGTGAGTGTTTACATCTGTCCCTCAACTAGAAATGGGAGATGTCTTCATTCAAAATCCATATACTTTGCATTCACTCTGAACAGGAATGTCCCTGAAAGCTATAAGATACTGTTCCTGCAAGGCGGAGGCTCGGGACAGTTCAGCGGGGTTCCTCTGAATCTGATTGGGCTGAAGGAGGACAGGTGTGCTGATTATCTGGTCACAGGGACGTGGTCTGCAAAGGCAGCCAAAGAGGCAGAGAAGTATGGAAAAGTGAAAGTGATTCATCCAAAACTGGATAGCTACACCAGTAAGTAATTAGAGTACAGCTATATTTTCATTGCTGAGAGGTGCTTTATTAAGAACAGATGATCTTGTGTGTGAAATCTGTTCAATCTATCCTGTATATTTGACATTTTTTCCAAAATAATTGGTGGGTCCCTTGTGAAGTACACTTTAGCATACTTTTGCTTCCTATGGAAACAGTATACTTTGAATGAATATACATAAATCAGCAAACTTGTTAAAATTTAAAATGCACTTCACTTAAGTAGGACTTTAGCACATCTTTACATGCATTTTCATAGTTGACTTTATTGTCTTTGAAAAATGGTTAAAGTTATTGCTTAATGTACCGACAAGCATTTATGGTAAGCTAAAATATACTTTAATGCCATTTCTATTGACATTTGTGTTATGCATTTAAATATATTTGCAGTTACTTGTTTTGTAATCATAAAGTTTAAATTTAAATTTATTTAAAATATTTTAACTTGCTTTTAAATTAGTTAAAATTATTATCAAATGGTTTACATGTATTTTAGTATATTAGTCAACATATCCAAACAAATGTACTTCTTTAAAGCATGACAAAAGATTATTGAAACATAAAGATTTAAAATGTACTTTAATAAAGCTTTTCATTGTACATGATTGCAAAGTCTACTTAAGTTCACATAGCCATGAAAGTACACTTAAGTGGCATTTTATTTCATAAATATTATATCTGCAAGTACAGTTTAAAAATATACTTAGATGAAATATACTACAATTGTACATTTAAAAAAGAAATATTTTTTCAGAAGGGGCTGCACAGCTTTGAACATCACATGACTTGTGGTGATGAAGCAAACTTTATTTTCACAGAAATACCAGACAGTAGCACTTGGTCACTAAATCCTTCAGCATCTTACGTCTACTGCTGCAATGAGACCGTGCACGGCGTTGAGTTTAACTTCATCCCGGACACTAAAGGAGTGGTTCTTGTCAGTGATGTCATCCAACTTCCTCTCCAGGCCAGTAGATGTGTCGAAGGTTGGTGATACTTCATGTTCGTCGTCTTTATAATAAAAGTAGCACAGTAGTTCATTAAACTTACTACTTTAGTATAGTAAATAATACTGTAGTAGCTGTAGTTTTCACAGATATAACCTAAATGGTTATTAATGCTGTGAGTCTCTGTTCGTTTCTACAGTTTGGTCTGATATTTGCCGGTGCACAGAAGAATGTTGGGTGTGCTGGTGTGACAGTTGTCATTGTCAGAGAGGATTTGATGGGCAAGGCTTTGAAAGAGTGCCCTATTATACTGGATTATCAGGTGCAGGCTGGCAATAACTCGCTCTACAACACTCCTCCATGCTTCAGGTATGGCTTTTCTTTGTTCATCATACTGTGCCTCTGTAGTCTTCATTTAAATTACTAACATTATTGTCAGCTCGCCAATTCTAGGTAGCTGTAATCAAGAAAAACAATAACTACAAAAGCTTAGTCAAGCAGCAGTTGATTTTTGACTTTTGAAAAGTCTCGTATGCTCACTAAGGCTGGCTGCATTTATTTGCTCAAATGCAGTAAAAATAATAATATTGTGAAATATTATTACAATTTAAAATAAGTCCAAGTTCTGTCATGAAACTCTTGATGGTGCAGTCCAATAGGTCTAACTCAATCTGACATAATGACATCATTATCACATGGCGCAGCTGATTGGTTCTTTTTTGTATCAGCAGCCAATGAGCTTGCTGCTCAACATTGAAATACTTGGCTAGTGCTTGCTGTAGCAGTTGCAGCGCACTTCAGAAACCCTCCACCTTCCCCAGCTCCACCTGTAGAGATCTGCTACGGGGTGATTCCATATATATTATACATGCAGCTAGGGCTGTACGATAAATCGTAATGAAATCGCAATGGCGATTAGGCAAAAGCTACGATTGTCATGCGCATCTTGTCAGTGAAGCACGGTTCTGTGATCAGTAGTAAATCGGCCAGAGGGCGCTCTCGCACTGAAACTCCAAAAACGCCCCGCAGAAGAAACCCATTAAATCCCAATAGCAGTAGCTGAATAAACAGAAGATATAACTGCTTTCATTGATTCAACGTAACTAATAAACACACGACTATGACAATATATGGTTTATCTATCTGAGTTAGTCTTATTATAATTTTCATTATAATAAAGTATATAATAATGCAATGCTAATCGACATAGACTTTATCACTGCTTAGAATACTATGAAATATGTCGCGTGCCTTATTCTGTGTAAAAGAAGCCACATCATCTCACAGAAGGATTTATTTCAACACTCAACTGACGTTATGAAGTGAGTTTGGAGTAAAAACATGTTATTAATGTGATATTTTCACATGCTTTCAGATGGGGCAGCATTTACTACACAGAGCCGTAGTTCACTGAGAAGCTACGCAAACAGCCGTCATTATCGCTAACGATTTCATAATCGCACAATTATATCGTCTGTAATTTTTTTGCGTAGCTTGTCAGTGAACTACGGCTCTGTGTAGTAAATACTGCTCCATCTGAAAGCAGGTGATGGAGATTTACTACTGATTACAGAACCGGCTTTACTGACAAGATGCGTATGACAATCGTATTCGATTAATCGTGCAGCCCTATATGCAGCAGTATTTCTCACAGTAGCATGTTGTGGATCTATTGGCAGTAGCATGTCTCGGCACTTGCTCTGCCACAACAGCAGCAGTGTAGCAGATCTATTCCGCCAAGACCAAACACATTAACATTGTCATGTACATTACCATGCTTAACTGTCAGAAAGTTGTCACAACAGAACTAAATTTAATTGAACCGCCCTCCAAAAAGAATCAAGAACTGCTCAGAACATTTACCATCCATGGAACCTTTCCATTGCACAGAAGGTGCTTTAGATTATTTCATAAAAAAGAAACATTGTAAAGAAAAAGCTGAGAAAATTGGATAAGGTTCAGAACGAAGATCAAAACATAGATGAAGTAGATCGAGTCCATCAGCACCCCCAAAGCTTGCACAGTCCTATACCACTTCCTGGGCTGACATTTCATTCAGTAACGTTAGGTTATTTATTAGTTATTTTACATATGCATCTGCTTACATATGCGATCGCTTGTTTCTGCTTCTTCACCGCGTTTTGATCCAGAAATTTAGTACTTTTTCAGAAGATGTGTAATAACAAAGTAGTTGCACTTTCACAGCAAAACACATGGAGGGCTTGAGTGAGCAGAGGTTGGCGGGCTTGAGAACGGCGCGGCCGGCAGATTTGACGAAGGAGTGTCCGGCGGGCTTGCGGCAATCATATGTGACAACCCCGGGCTGGACTCCGCTTCGTCCACAGTGAAAGCCGATACGGTGATCAACAGCGTGAAGTTGAAGTATTCCCTCAGCGACCAGCACGGATCAGCTCCAGGCATATCACTAGAAGCAGCTTTTATTTTGACGTCACGTAAGACCCGGAAGTGGAAGATCAAAACAACTGCATATCGAATGAGACGGCGATTTCAATATTAAATGTCAAGCTTGTCACTTAAAAAGTACAGTATTACAATTTTTCTTTATTTATGCTTGATTAAGAGCAACATGGGTAATTTTATTCTCTTAATAATTTCATACAGATGAACGTCAGCTGATTTGACACATTTGAAGTGCAGCGGAAGTGAGTTTGGGTCAGTATCAGACTTGTTAATGCTCTGGCACCTGCATGTTACAGTTGACGGGAAGATTTCACGGGATGTCGCGCTCACATTTATAAAGCACAACTGATTTTAAATTGGGTGAGTTCGGCATGTTCACTTTATTTAGGCTGTTGTGGTGTTGTTCATGTAACGTTATTTTGACTCGTGCATGACACTCCTTCCGAGCTGCCCTTTGTCCTCGAGGGAAAGCACAGCGACTCGTCTTTTACTTCAGGGTTGTTATTTTGACAACAAGCACGTATAAATGCTGCGCGACATGTTTCGCTTTCTTTGATCCATAAAAATAATTCCCACTGCCACAGTTAAAAAATGTGTGCAAAATGGGAATTTCAGTCATTCTTTGGAACTAATATGAGATTCAAGTAATGTTACTAAACTTGCATGATCAGACCGGCGGCACGACAACATTCATAAAGAATTTGTATGAATTACTTGATAATATTAAGGATTATTACGCAGCTCTGCATCTTAAAAAATTTTGAAATCTCCAGTGTTACGTGATTTGATGATGTTGAAAAATATTTTCATCACATATATAAATGCATTTGTTTAAAGTAACAAAAACGGTCAAATGTCAAAATGACAAAATTATTTCAAATGTATCATTTACCTTAAAATCATCAAAGGAGTAGAACAATTTATTAAAATACTCAAAGACCTTTACATAAACACATGTGCATAAATAAGCTTCCCCCCATAATTCAAACCTTAAAGTGGATTAAGCATAAAATGTCTCAAGTCTCTTTTTTTTATACATGTGAAAATCAGAGTGAGAATTGAACAAATAGTTGTAATCTCTCTCAGGGGAAGACAGGAATCATGTCTTTGTGGCAGTTCTGCTGATTAGGGGATAATACAAGATGTCTTCACCTTACGAATGGTTGTCGAAAGTGAAATTGCTACAGAATGCATCATATTTTATGAGAAAGTGTGATGTGCTATAGAGTAGGGTGACCATACGTGCCATTTTCCCAGGACGCGTCCTGGCCAGGATTTCTATATTGCCTAAAATATCTAGGTTTTGGCTTTGTTTGCATGTGCAGACCGATCGGTGTATGACATCAAAATACCATACAGACGGTTCCTTATGCTTTCAAAATGCTCTCGAGGTATTTTGATGTTATACACCGATCGGTCTGCACATGCAAACAAAGCCAAAACCTAGATATTTTAGGCAATATAGAAATCCTGGCCAGGACGCGTCCTGGGAAAATGGGACGTATGGTTACCCTACTATAGAGCAAAACTATTTTTGGAGTAAGCATCCCAAAAATAGTATGAAACAAAATGTCTGATTTCATTCAGCAAATATGATCACCTCACTTCACTTTGCAATCCTCATAATCAAAATGACTGAGTTTAGTGACTGTGATGGGAGTGGTTTCTCATTACATTGAGATTTCAAATTCCGTTTTTATTCTTCCTCGTATTGATCTTGGTTCCCACCCATTAATCCAGATCGACAATGGCTGCTAAGGGAAACAGGAAGTTTTCTCCACGATACAGGAGACCGAAGGAAGCAGATGAAGCTGAGAGCTGGAGGAGCCCGTTGGGACAGGACAGTGTGAACCATGAACGCAGTTACAGTCCTAAAACAAAGCGGGGTCACAACAGAAGAGCCAAAGCCTCGCAGTCATGCGGCTCTCCTGAGGGACGAGCGTTTGGACAAAGTCCTTCTCACAAGGACCGAATCCAGAAGGGTTCACCTGCTGACCGGAGGAACTGGAGAGAACGACAGCGAGATGGACAGAAACATGACAGGCTTGGTAAAATGCATTAAAACCTGTCATGTAATGAAACAGTGAGATTAAAAATGTAGCTAATATCTGTCTACATCTTGTCTGTCTATCAGACAGCATGCAGAGCTGGAGGGAGAATAGCAGAATTGTCTCGATTGAAAGCTGCCTCACTAGACGGGACGTTTTACAGCTGTGCTTGGAAGCAGAAGGCAGTGACTGTGACCCTAAAGAGGTTTGTATAGTTCGAATAGTTGTATAGTTGAATAGTTTGAATAGTTCACCCAAAAATGAAAATTGGCTGAAAAAGTACTCACCCTCAAGACATCCAAGATGTAGATGAGTTTGTTTCTTCATCAGATTTAGAGAAATTTAGCATTGCATCACTTGCTCACCAACGGATTCTCTGCAGTGAATGGGTGCCGTCAGAATGAGTCCAAACAGCTGATAAAAACATAACAATAATCCACAAGTAATCCACACGACTCCAGTACATCAGTTAACATCTTGTGTTCCCCTCAAATTCCATCCGAGCAGCTGAGTCCTTAGCCATCTTCAAGAATCGGCTAAAAACACATCTCTTCCATCTTTATTTGACCCTCTAACTCTAGCACTCTCTATTCTAATTCTGTTCTTTAAAAAAAAAAACTTGTCCCTTTTAGACTTGCACGCTATTCATTTACTGCTTGTTTTCTTAAAAAAAAAAAAACTAACACTAGCTTTTCTAATCTTTTTGTATTCTATCTATTTGTTTTCTTTTTATTTATTATATAATTAACAAAAGCAAAAAAGGCATCTAACACTAGCGTGCTCTATTCTTTTTCTATTCTATTTGTTTTCTTTTTATTTATTTTATAATTTTATTAAAAAAAAACTTGCTACGTGTACTGTGTTAAGCTAACAGAGACTTGTTATAGCACTTGCATATCATTGCTCTTTTGTTGATTTTGATTGCTTCCATTGTCCTCATTTATAAGTCGCTTTGGATAAAAGCGACTGCTAAATGACTAAATGTAAATGTAAATGTAGAAAGCAATATTATCAATAGAGGACTTGAATCTTAGCTTGAAGCAACAGCTTGAAGTTAAAATGTCTTAATAATATGTCTGTTTTGTACAAGCATGCAGCTTTTCCCTTAACAAGATGTTAATTGATGGACTGGAGTGGTGTGGATTATTGTGATGTTTTTATCAGCTGTTTGGACTCTCATTCTGACGGCACCCATTCACTACAGAGGATCCCTTGGTGAGCAAGTAATGCAATGCTACATTTCTCCAAATCTGTTCTGATGAAGAAACAAACTCATCTACATCTTGGACAGCCTGAGGGTGAATAAATGTTCATTTTTTGGGCAAACTATTGCTTTAAGCAGTTTAAATAGCATTTTGGGAAAAATTTTACGATTTGAAAAAGAGGTACTCCATGGTACTGAAGGAATACCATATTAATGTACCATAGTCTTTACAGGGTACTTTAAAGAGCACCATGGTATTACTGTACTACATATTTGCAATTATTTGTGCTGTATATTTGTTGCCATAGCATATCATACAGCAGATAAATGCACTACCATTCAAAAAAGTTTTGTAAGAAGTTTGAAAATTTGTTGTAAAAGGTTTTGCTCTCCAAAACTGCATTCATTTGTTAAAAAAGTACAGAAAAAAACAGTAATATTGTGAAATATTATTACAATTTAAAATTTTTAAATATATTGTAAAATGTAATTTATTGCTGTATTACTGTTGTCTTCAGCATCATTACTCCAGTCTTCAATGTCACATGATCCTTCAGAAATCATTCTAATATGCTGATTTGCTGCTCAAGAAACCTTTCTGATTATCAGTGTTGAAAACAGTTGTGCCGCTTCAATTGTTTTTTTTTTTAATGAAAACTATGATACATTTGATATCAGAATTCTTTGGTGAATAGAAAGTTCAAAAGGACAGCATTTATTTGAAACAAAAATGTTTTGTAACATTATGAATGTTATTACTGTCACTTTTGATTAATTTAATGCATCCTTGCTGAATAAAAGTATTACTTCCTTTCACAAAAAAAATCTTACTGACCCAAAACAGTTGAACAGTAGTGTACAGTACATTGATCATATTTCTTCACATAATATAATTTGGGTTCTTTTTATGCATTTTTATTAGTCAAGCATCTGTCTGAAGTTCAGATGTGAGAAATGTAAGGTGTACTGTGAAGACATGTCACCAGCGATCAATCACATCAGAGAAAGAGCCCACAGGAAGAAAGCCAAGGTACGGAATCACATATTACCAAATTATGATCAAGATGTTAGCAGACTCAAACATCTGTGCTTGGCATTTAAAGTTGAAATTTGTCTCCTCTTTACAGGAACTGCAGAAGCTGACGCTGCTGTTGAACATCCCACCTCCTGGAAAACCCCAGTGTCATTCAATCAGCTTGGCTCTGGAAAGTGTGATCGCTGAGTTCAGTTTAAACGATCAGGATTTGAAACAACGGCAAAACGTCCTCACTCTCGTTGAGAAAGTCCTACAGCCTGTCCTTCCAGGTGTGTAACATCACAGCGGTACATTCAAAGCTCACTGAATCCTTTATTCAATGCTTTTTCAATACCTCTGTATTCTCGTTTCCCCTGCAGGTTGCCAGTTCAGATTATATGGATCTTCCTGCACCAAATTTGGCTTCAAAGACTCTGATGTAAACATTGATGTAAAGTTTCCATCCCATGTGAGTAGAAAGCGCTTATCACAAATATTCTCACAGTTTGCATTTTAATATATGCTATTTTGGCCTATGAGTTTGATATAAGTAAATGCTTTTATATTTATATTTTTTAGGTTGGCTTGAGAAAGCCAACTGACCTACTGATTTACTGTAGTTTTGATCATCCGTTTTATGAAAATACAGTCTGAAGGGCTGAACTGAGTTTGGTGGGTGTAGCTTGAAAACTCTGGGAGACATGTTAAAATTTAGTCTCAGAAGACGAAGAAGACTAAAAAGAAGCAGCAGCTTAAAAGTCCAATAGACTTTCACTGAAGGGGTCAAAACTTTTGTACAATAAGACTTATAGGCCTGGTTTCACAGACAAGGCTTAGATTAAGCCAGAATTAGGCCATTGTTCAATTAGCACATTTAAGTAGCTTTTGTAAACATGCCTTAGAAAAAAAAACATTACTTTGTGCATCTGAGGTAAATCAATGACACATATTTTAAGATATGTCAGTGCAAGTTTTTTTTTTTTTTGTCAGTTAAAACAGCTCAGACATGTATTTTAGTTTGGGTTCAGGCTTAAACCTAGTCTGTGAAACCAGGGGATAAAGTAGGGTGACCATATTTTAGTTTTCCAAAAAGAGGACAGTGGGTGCGGGGCGGGGGGCTGGGGTGTGGTTGGTGGTTAAAGTAATGCCGAAAGCGCCCAAAGTAGCGCAATCTCAAATATCAAAACTCAAAATATGTCATTTCCATACCTAATATACATATTTTACAGTCACTGTTATGCATATTGATCATAAACACAGCTAAAAAGCTTCCTACCAGTGGCCCTTCTTCACAAAACATAATATCTAGCACAGTTTTATCATAGGTAGAATGCAAATGTTTCAATACAAGCATTTCAGTCAAATGTAATTTATGCAACACTTCAAACCTTTAACCAGGGCCAGCCCTGACCAATTTGGTGCCCTAGGCAAGATTTTAGCTGGTGCCCCTTGCATCGCAGCCAATTCCACCACCGATCATTCACACAGAATAGCTGCATAGCTTTATGATATAAAACAAATTACATATAAATAAGAAGGTTGCACAAAAAATAAATAAATAAACGGACATTAACTCAACTAGCTTTTTAAATTAGAGAACTTTATCGTCCAAAGGCAGCTACAATATTAACATTTAAGTCTTAATTTCTTCATTTCAGACTTTCATAAATTTAGGGATGCACTGATCTTAACTTTTCATGGCAGAATCCAATACTGATTTTTAATGTATTTTATTTAAGCAAAAGACAAGAAAGAATGAAAATATGAGTAGGAAGAATATGGTTAGTTGCTTCATTATATTTTGATCTAAATTAGACTGTATAATTTCAAAACCTGAAGCAAAAACAGAATGGTTTGACTTTAGCTTTGTGAAATTAGGCTACATAAAACATACCAAACAGCAGATGGGCTGAATGAAAATGCAAATTCACTCTCTGTCAGCAGGTGGCGCTTAAGGAACAGCAGTGATGCATTGGAAACACTAAATGCTAGTGATGGGAAGTTCGGATCATTTTACCGACTCAGATCTTTGAGTCTCGTTCAGCAAAATGAAAGAATCTTCGAGTCATTTCGTTCATTTGAGCAAAATGTAATTAAAATGTTCCCTAACACATCTACTACGTATTTACGCAAACATTGATCACACTACAAACAAGACTATATAACTATATAATGCTAAAAACTATATAATGCTATAAGAAACAGAAAATATTCATTGTTTACCTGGATCTTTAGTCTATGCTAGCTCACCTCACCTCTTATCTGACAAGTCTTCGGGTTTGAGTCGTTCGTTCATCACGTGACAGCCCCATAAGCTTAACCAATGCAGTCTGAGCCGGAAAGAGAATTGATTAGTTCATCTTTCGAGTCGTCCGTTCTTTTGTCACGTGACGTGACAGCAACCTTCCCAATCATTACAAACGTGTGCATAGTTATCATTATTATTATTATTATTATTATTATTATTATTATTGCATTATACAGAGGCAAGATGAAAGGAAAATACCATCTAAACTGTTTCTTAACACAGTCAGTTCACCTCAGAGATACATTCATACTTCACTCATCGTGAACAGTGAGCTTGCTCTGCCTGATAATGTATTTTCTCCTCTTTGCGTCTCTGGCTTCTAATGCCATTTACAGAGAAGAAGAAAAAACGGTCCGTGCATCTCTGCTCAAATTCAAATATTAAACTGCTTTTATTTTGGTGGTTTGCCAGCAAATAAGTAAATGCGCTGCATGTTTCAGAGTGAAGCGCTGCGTGTCATGGGCTGCACTGGAACACATTGAAAACTGCAGCGCATAGGTATTTTTATTTAATTTAATCACAGCCTTTGCGATATGACTATGGCATTAAGCCATAATGCAATATCGATTATATGTCGATATATAGTGCACCCCTAATTATAGTAATATTATTTAATAATAATAAAAAAATGTAAAAAACTTAACACATTTGGGCGCCCCTTAAACATTTGCCTATTTCGCCTATGCAACGGGCTGGCCCTGCCTTTAACCAACGGGGGGAAATCAAGCCAGGGCAACAGTTTAAAAGTAGCCCAATTCCATCGAGAAAAAAAAAAAAAAGCAGACTTGACAACCCTGCATCCAACACGAGCTGCAGGAGTCAAACTGATCACGGGTTGAGAGGAGAGATGGCTGACAGACCATGCTGGAGGATTTGCTGCTTAACAGATCCTGAGCTCATTGACAAATATCTGATCTTCCTTTACACAGAGCGCATGTGATCGCGAAATCGAAAGTGAAAGTGAACAGCGAGCGCTCATCCAAAAGAGATTATATTCTCCGCATAGCGCCCCCTTGATGCGCGAAACTTTCGCAATGAAACACACAGCGTCTTCACAACATGGCAGCGGCAGTGGCAGCAACAATAAGGTTACGCCTTCTTTCTTTGCGTGAACATTTGGGCGGGGGAATATGGGAAAATGTAGTCGCACAGGCAGAAAAAATGGTCGTAAAATGGTCGCAGTCTGGAGCCCTGCATTAGCAAGATGTTAAACACACTATACATGTTAACTACCTGTTAATCATGTTAGAAACATGTTAGCAGCATGCTAATCATGCTAGCAAAATGCAAATCATGCTAGAAAGATGCTAGTTGTTATGAACATGCTAGCAACATGTTAACAGTAATCACATTAGAATTATGTAAGCAACATGCAAATCGTGCTAACACATGCTAGCAACATGTTAATCATGCTAGAAACATGCTAGCAACATGTTATCAACATGCTAAAAACATGATAACAAAATGTTAAATCATGCTAGCAATGTGCTAGCAACATCTATCTAATCTATCAAACTTTCAAGCTAGGCATCCTCAAAACAATACTTGCTGTTTCTTTATTTTTTAAACTACATTTGTGTCTGTATTATGGAATTCTAGCAAGACTTGCAGTGCCACAACAACTTGATTCAATCTAGCATGAAGTGAACTTTAGTCTTTTCAGTTATTATAGGATTACACGGTCTATGCCTCACGGAAGGTGAGATATAATATTGGCTCAAACCTGTGATACACTGCTAATTATCACTGACATTTAGGCAAATTATCTCAGTTTGCTGTGATTACAGTTTGACAGCAAACACATAAACCATGGCATATGTGTTTGAGAGCCCAATTAGATTCCTTTCACAAACCCCAAATCGTCTGCACTTTTTTGAGAGTTATTTGATTACATGTTTTACAAAGATGCACAATTTTGAAGTTTGGTCAATAAGTGTTTTCTAATTAAGAAAAAAAAATTTCTCATCAGTTCCAGCATCCTGATGTTCTGCTCGTGGCTCAAGAGCATCTCTCTAAAAGTGGTAAGTTTAAAAGTGAAAAGCAGTGAAAGAAATGGACAACTGTAAAGTGAAAAAAGCATAGACTGCAGAAATACATTAGTAAGGAACAGTGTTTAAATTGGCTATGGTGAAAAAAGAGCAGGGTATGGAGTTACACACTGATACTTTTTTTTTTGCTATTGCTGATAAGCAGTATGATTGTAATTTCATAAATGTATACTGTTTAGCATACTTTTTAAGCATTCAGAATAAAGCACCATCAATATAGAATACAATTTTTATTATCTGTTTCATTTTTGCAGCTCTTTTTGTCAGCGTCGAGGGTGACTTCTATAGGAGGATGCCTGTAGTTGTGTGCAAAGAGAAATCTAGGTCTGTGTTTCCTTGCTTATTATTCTTTTACAAAGTTTATATATGAAGTTACCTGCTTTTAAATGTGTGTATACTTTACCTTGTAAATGTTTGGGGTCAGTAAGATATTTTTATATTTTGTTTACTTTTACTCAGCAAGGATGCGTTAAATTGATCAAAACTGTGAATAAAGACATTTAATAATGTTACAAAAGATTTCTATTTTAAAGCTGCAGTCCGTAACTTTTTTTGTGTTCAAAATTTACAAAATTAATATAATAAGCGAGTACATCATGGCTTTATTCTTTTTTTGGCTTATCCTGAATCACTACAGTACTTCACTTATAATAAGTGTTTATATTCTGACTATTTCAGACTGGTACTGGTGGAACCGCTGCGGAGTAGCCCAGTACCTGCGTGATTCGTCATAGACATAAACAGAGAGAAGCAGCTCTGGCTACGGTGTTCTTCCGCAAGACGCACACAGTTCTGTTTATTAACCGCTAGAGCGCCAAAAGTTACGGACTGCAGCTTTAAATAAATTTCATGAATTCATCAAAGAATCCTGAAAAAAATTGTATCATGGATTCTACAAAAATATGAATCAACACAGGTGATTTCAAAATAGATAATAACATCACAGGAATAAAATGCATTATTAAATGTATTTAAACTATTATTTTAAATTGTAATAGTATTTCACAATATTACTGTTTTTACTGTATTTTTAAAGTCTGCATGAAATCAAAATTGACTATTTACTTTACTAGCGCACATTGCTAGTCTTGATGTAAACAATTAATCTGTGCAAGTTAATCCGCTGAAAAAAATTGTTTGTCTTCGTAATCTTTAATCAAAATCTGAACATTTACTTCCACTCTGGAATGGCATTCCTTTTCTGATGACGTCAGTTTGACGGCTTGGGCCGAATATCCTTAAACACACCCCTCCAACCGTTAGATTGCTATGAGAGAGACAGAGAGGAGGAGCGCAAACATAAAACCATGCCCTCTATTCAATATTCCGTTTCAGCTGGAAATACGTCACTACACTGAAATAAAGACGGCAGCAACTTCCGGTTCACGCGGACTTGAAGTATGAAGTTTTAAGTAATGCAGCCTTGGTGAGCAGAAGAAACTTCTTTCAAAAACATTAAAACATCTTACTCATCCCAAACTTTTTGACTGTAGTGAAAAATTGTATGTGGTTTTATTTATTTACTGTTTTTTGTATCTATTAAGTGGTCTGATCTGCAAAGTCAGTGCAGGCAATGAAAGTGCATGCTTGACAACAGCATATTTGGCTGAGCTGGCGAATCTAGAGCCACAACTTACTCCGCTGGTCGTATGCTTTAGATACTGGGCTAAGGTGAGACTGACATGTACACTTCCATTATTTTCAGTAGATAGTTTTTAGGTAAAAAAAAAAATAGTAGTCTCTCTATAGGGTTTCTTCATGCTTTTTAACATTCATGATATGTGATGTTTTTTGTGTGTGTGAATTAGGTTTGTTGTGTGGACCAGATGGAAGAAGGTGGACTTCCATCCTACTGCTTTGCCCTCATGGTCATCAGCTTCCTGCAGCGATGCAAAGAACCCATCTTACCTTCATACCTAGAATCTGTGGTGTGTGTTTCAACATTAATACATCAACTGATAAAAGTTTATAGGACCAGAGCCTGATTATTGCATCCTGAACCCTTATGAAGAGGTAAAATGAGACAATGTGCAGTCAGCCGGTCATTATTGCAAAATAAAACCCAACACGGTGATCAGGACCCAAATGCAAGTATTTCAGAGAGCTATGTGATAAACAACAGTATAGCATTTACTTCCATGAAGAGTTCACCCATGAGAGACAAAACTTAAAAGGATATTTCACTCAAAATTGAAAATTCGTGGTTAATTTACTCGCCCTCAAACCATCCAGAAAGTAGGTGACTTTTTTTTTGTCCGGTAGAACAGTAAAGAAGATTTTTAGCTGAAACCGTGGTCCTTATTTATTCATAAAATGCAAATCAGCGACTGCCCATTTTTTTGAGAATAAAAAAAAAAGCATATCAAGGAACACAAAATTAATACCTGTGGCTCCTGACGGTATATGCAGGTCTGATGAAGCGAAATGATCAGTCTGTGCAAGATACTAAATATTATTTACAACATTATTACCTGTAATCCAGAGCCTCAGGCACATGGTCCGGAGTGATGTCCGGTTCGCAAACGAATCATTCTTTTGAACTGGTTCTTTTTGGTGAACTAGTTGAACCAGTTCACCAAATCGGACTGAACTGTCTGAAACAGTTTACGGTTCGAACAACACAGATCTACAAGTTACTCAATCAAAACTCACTTTCGGACGCCTCAAAGTCAGTCTGACTCGAAATGAGCCAAAACACAGCGTATCTGTTTCTATGATGAATGAACTCATTCAGCGCTCCAGTTCCTCCAACAGTCACTGAACTGAGAAAACAGTTTGACTCGGACCGAAGACCGATATGCGCATGTGTGAATTAAAGTTTTTATGGTTTCATTGCTTATGTAAAAAGGTGAGCTTAAGAAGACAATTTTATTCACTTTATATGCTTTAGACTGGTGCTTTTAAGAATATATTTGTGTATACGTTATGTCATTGCGTGATTAAGTAAATTAACTGGTGAACTGAACCATTTAATTGAAACAAACTGTCGGAAAGAACCAGTTTGTGGAAAAGAATTGGATTTCCTGGTTTGCCTGAGGTTCTGGATTACAGTTAATAATGTTGTAAATAATGTTCAGATTCTTGCACAGACCAATTGTTTCGCTTCATAAGGCCTCAATATTTCATCAAAGCCATGGGTATTAATTTTGTGTTCTCTGATATGATATTTTTATATTAAAAAACCCGTAGCCATTGACTTGTATTTTATGAATCAACAAGGACCACGGTTTCAGCTAAAAATCTTTTTTACTGTTCTACTCAAGAAAAAAAATGTCAACTGCATCTTGGATGGCCTGAGAGTGAGTAAATTAACAACAAATCTTAATTTTTGGGTGAAGTATCACTTTAAATTAGACTATTTAGAAACGTAATACAAAACGTATCCCCAACGTTTATTGTGCAAACTCCTGTAAGAACTGGTTTTCATTGTGAGGGAGTTTAATTTATGTTTGATCTTTGAAACAGCCTACAGTAATATGCAGAGACTGATGTTGTGTTCTGTTTTAGGGTTTGCCCATGAGTAAACTGAAGAGTTTCTCCTTAATTGGAGTTGAGAAAGGACATGTGCTTTGGGTCTATGATCAAACCTCAAATGATTCCTCTCAAGATAAAGACAAAGCTGTCAAGAAGGGAAAGGTGAGTACCTTCCCACTTATTCTTGATCTGTATATCAGACTTTAATTTGAAGACAACTTTGATGCCAAAAGAAAGTCAACAAAATGAATGCAATATTTTTACCTATTGGTTCGTAGTCCTGGTTGTATTCTTATTTTAAATAGTGTCCACTGGTTTTCAAAGGCCGTAGCCCTCCTGTATTGCTAGGGAAGCTTTGGGTCGAGTTACTACGATATTATTCACTGGAATTTCAAATACCTGAGAAAGTCATTAGCGTGTGCACAAACAGTGACCTGTGGCGTGATCTGAAAGACTGGCCCAAAAAGAGGATTGCAATAGAAGGTATGCATGACATCATGTGATATTTTTTTATACACTTCCTAGATATGAAACGCATTAATATTCATCCTTATTTTCTTCTCAGATCCTTTCGCCGTCCAGAGGAACGTGGCTCGGACGTTGAATAGTCAGATGATGTTTGACTATATGTTGCATTGCCTCAAAACAACTTACAAGTATTTTGCTTCTCCTTCAAAAAGCACAGCAGGGAAAGCCAGCTCAAACAGTCAAACTGACAAATCTGTGAATGCTGTGAATCACATTGATTCAGTGAAGAGAAGCACAAAAGTGCCAGCTGAGGATTTGGAAAGATCTCATGCGAGATCCAGTCTGCATAGTGCAGAAGATCTGGAGGACTCGGACTGCATGATTGAGCTGGAGCAGGATGAGGAGGAAGAAGCTGACTCTGACATGGAGACTGAGGTGTGTGATCAGTGTGAATGGATTGATCGTTATTATTTGGTTTTCTGGTGGTCTTAACTAAAACCTAGGGGTGTGCCGGTACGAGTATCGGTACCGAACAGTTCACGTGGCAAATTCCAAATGGAAGTGATCATCCCTATCCCCTTGGAGTGGTGCCAAGTGCATTCCAAATGACTACATAGGCTGCGTTCCACTCCACTTTTAGACATGCACTCGCGAACTTCCCTGAGCACTTCCCCTCGGGGGAATCCCCGCTGATTTTGAAGTGCGTTCCACTTCGTGAAGTGGACAAGGGAAGTTTATATGGACAGACCCTCGACCCCTCGATTTTGACCGAGGGAGCGAGTCTGCTTCATATGCACACTTCAGGCCGCTCCATAGATATTTCATGAACATTACTTGTTTAGTGTTCAGAGTTTAAGGGTGTAACGGTACGTGTATCGTGTACCAAACGGTTCACAGGCAAATTCCAAATGGAAGTGATCATCCCTATCCCCTTGGAGAGGGGGACTTTGGAGTGAGCAGGGCACGTGCGTGCCATTATGTAGTCGTTTGGAATGCACTTGGCAAAGGGAGCGATGTAATTTCCTCATTATCTTCAGCTGGCATGTTCCCGTGACAACTGACAACGCAGCATTCGATTCGAGATTAAACATTTTTTATTTTAAAAAGTTTTATATATATTAGTTTTTATATATTATAAAGCATATTTTAAAAACTTTTTAAAATATAAAATGTATTTTTTTTTTTTTATGCGGGTGTCCATCAGCGAATCTGCTGACGGACACCGTGCTGCGTTGTCACGGGAACATGCCAGCTGAAGATAATGAGGAAATCACTTCCATTTGGAATTTGCCCGTGAACTTCGGTACCGATACTCGTACCGGCACAGCCCTACTAAAACCATTAAAAGTCATTTTTGTTCATTCAAAATAAAATAAAATATAAATACTAGATGAAAAATTAAAAAACCTTGCCTTGGCAACTAACTGAAATAAAACTGAAGTACCAAAATTACTTAAAAAAATAAATAAAAAAAAGACAGCAAAACTACTAAAGACTAAACAAATTAAAATGATTTGGTTTTCTGGAGGTTTTAACTAAAACCATTAAAAATCATTTTTGTTCATTGAAATAAAGCTGAAATAAAATAAAATATAAATTTTAGATGAAAAACTTAAACTGAAAAACAAATGAAATAAAATTAACAAATTTACTAAAATTGAAATGAAAAAATAAATATATTAAAAATAAATATATTTAAAGACTGAGAACTAAGAAAAAGATAAAAGCACATAGCAAAACTACTAAAACCTTCTTTTTCATCATACGGTTAAATTTAGCAACATTTGGGAGTAACAAACTATGTCTGTTCAAATTCATTACAGTAAAATTCAGCATTGTTTTTTTTATTTAAGTTTATGTATATTTTCATAATAAATAAAATAGTTAAACTTAAAAACTTGCCTTGCCAACTAACTGAAATAAAACTTAAGCTTAAGTACTAACATTTCTAAAACTAAAATAAAAATAACGCTAAATAGAAATATTAACCAATAAATAAATAAATCTCAAAAGCACATAGCAAGATTACCAAAGCTTAAAATAAAAAATAAAAATGATACAAATTAATTACCCATTTTCCAGTATGTTTAGACCTGGGAAATTGATTCTTCATGATCTGTTCAAGCTGCTCAGGTGCTAATTTTTTAAGCAACTTGGATGTTTTCCAGTTGAAATAAGATACATATAATGATTAGTACTTTGGAGTGTTGTTTCAGCTATATGGTTTTGTAAAATAGTGGAGAAACATTAGTTAGCTTTTGCATTAGTTAAAAATAACAAATGATAATTTATAGGGTGAAGATGACGATGATGACATAGAGCTCGATGGATCTGGATGTGATCATTCTGGCGACGAGATCTTCCCGTTTGAGCGGGAAATGAGTGATGATGTAGGGTCTGATGTGGCTGACCCAGAGGAAGCAGCGTCTATCCCAGCCAAACCCAAAGCTGAGTTTACCAAATCTGAATCTCCCTCCTTTCAGTATGTCTTCAGCAAGCGCTTTTTCAGTAATGGCAAGGTAAACATTCATCTTTTCTTACATGCATGGCTACTGAGTGTCAGTTTGAATGTCTATGCGAATCCTTCAAATCACATAATTAGGGGTGTGCGATAATATCACAATTGTTGTTTTAATCAGTGTTGGGGAGTAACTAGTCACATGTAACGGCGTTACGCAATTTAATTACAAAATAAATGTAACTGTAATCAGTTACAGTTACTAAGAAAAAATGTGCAATTAAATTAGTTACTTATGAAAATGTTAACTATTACAAAGGGGGTTACATTTGAATATTTACACGTGTCTACATTTAGATTTAATTGATTTCTTTCCCAAATTGACTACTCTAAAATATGAGACATACGGCCGCAATGCGGAAAACACGGAGTGGTCCGTAGAATCCAGTCATAAAAACGGAACTCCTATAACGTGGAATTTCAAGGAATATGCCACATTTTGGATGAATAAATCCAAAGTAGGTCAGTACACTTGAAAACGGTTTCGATCAGAGTAATCAATGCGAGAGATTTGAGAATGGATTGGACTGTGGAAGCGCACAGGTGGAGCAGAGAAGCAAAACTACTGTTCAGGATTTCAAGTGCAGGTCAGATTAATCTGTAAATATGCTATTGTAGTTCTGTCTTTAAGCAATAGCAGCCCATTGCTAAATAGTCATCACTCAAAATACTGTATACTAGCCTAAAGGACATCATTATTAGGCTATCTATTGTAAAGTTACAGTAGTAATTTAGCAGACAAATAATCATATCGTTTTATAATAGGTTTAGGGGGAGATAGGGCAGACAACTAACGATGATTTTACTATAAATCCAAAGACAATGGTTAGCCTATTGTTAAACCATGGTAACCACAGATTAATCATGGTTTTTGTTACACTATCCATAGTTTAACAATGGAATGTGTAGTAAAAATAAATACAAATGGTAATCCATTTGCCAAAAAAAAACATTGTTACTGTACTTTTACTATAATAAAATCATGGTTCATTTTTGTAAGGGAAAAAAATTACTCATGTTCAGTATTGGAATTTTTCTATAAAGATATTGTAATGATGTAGCCTAGTTATTATTGTACTAATTTTGACATGTAAGCAATTTAGAAAGAATAGTTTTGTTAAATCTTGAGTAGGCTATAAAAGTCATGTGATAGACATAGAGATATCAGGGCAAAATAAAGAGACTGAAAATTCAAATGGAAGTGAATGTGGAGTTCAGGAGAGAACTTTTAATTATTTTGCATGTGCCCAGCCTAAGGATTTTTTTATGTGATGGCCATACAAAAAATAGGGTTGTCCTCAATATATATGAGTACATGAACATGTAAACAATCTCTAGAACTGCATGAGCATTTTACAATTTCTTTTGAGAAAACTATCGTCATATCATATACAAACAGACACCAATGTTTCAAAAAGACACCAATATTTCAGGAGTTTAGTACAAAGAATAGGACACATGCTTATTAGATAACCATATTTGGGTTGATGTATATGTTTTTATTTTTAATTTTTTAATTAACTGTTTTTTTTCCAAAGCATTGTTAGATGCAGTGTTTCCTGTAGTTATGCGAAGATTTAGTTTAGTTTCAAAAACAGTATTAGTAAACTATTTCTTATGATTTTAAATCTGCATTGAACTTGATCAATCTCAAAGTAAAAGGCGGTACTAAAGTCTGATTTTGTGGTGGATGTGTTCAATTACTATCATCTTAATTCAAGTGATGAAGGATTTTGAAGTCTGACAGTAATCCGTGTTGAGCACAGGTTAACCCTAACAGTTGAAAACATTCATTAGAAATTTAGAAAAGTAATCAAAAAGTAATCAGTTAAATTACTTTAATAAAGTAATTAAAAAAGTTACACTACCATTACATTAGGGTAACTTGTAATCTGTAACCTATTAAATTTTTAAAGTAACCTTCCCAACACTGGTTTTAAGGATGTGTGAGCTGACATAGAGTGTCACTCAATTTGCAAAAAAAAATTAAAATAACCAAAACAAAAATAGTTACAAACAAAGCTGGAGCAGAACATTTGTGTGTCTCATGGCAACACTGTAATGTTTCATTCCTGAATGAATCTGGTTTTGGGGCGACACATCTCCACTTCCTTCCACTATAGAAAAGTTAGGCTAAAACATCCCAGTATGGGCACTGTCATCTTGCGAAAATGACGTCATTTGGAGCCCCACTCTGCGCAGTAGTGATCGTGAGGTGGATCTGCGGTATCAAAGTCCCGCCCAAACTCACGCAGACCCAAACGCAAGCTCACAATCATGACACCACACTAGGGGTGTGCGATATTGACAAAAAATAATATCTCAATATTTTCTGGGATTTTATCAATAATGATTATTAGACAATATTTTGCTGAATGTGTTATTGTGCTGGCCATGGACAGCTGACCCCTAAAGTTTTTGATATTCTTCATATTCTGTGTGGTGGTCAATTCACACTGATAGAAATTCATCTTTATTATTATTTATTATTGAAAAAAATAGATTTTTAAATTTTATGGACATTTTTACCTTTATAAAGCCATTTTTTTCTAAAAGTGTCCATTAGTCAGATTCTTACATGTAATTAGTGTATTATGAAATCGGTATCAACTAAATTAATCTTTGCAATGCAGAGAAAACACAGAAGCTGCATCTCAAGTGGCATTTGGATGTATTTACACACTGTTTAATGCAAAACATGAATGATATATTAAACATATGATATATTAAACAAAACGTTGAATATTGATATTTGGAACTATTTAAATAATAAAAAGATACTTTAAATGTGAAATTAAAACCACCAGTAGGTGGCAGCAAGTCACTGTTAATAAGTGAGTCATTGCGATTGAACCGAATTATTCAAACGGTTGATTCATTCAGGAACGAAACACCGTCATGTTGCTCGGAGACGCAAAACCAGGAAATATGCTGCCTAAAACGTAAGTCTCTTAATTAAATTCTTGAACTGTTGTAAAAAATCAATATCACATTTGTGTAATGGTAATTTTTGGAGGAAAAAAAACAGCACTTTGTGTGAAATTTATGAACTATATGAAGTGGTGTAAATATATACATTTTCTGCCTCCATGTCTTGAATTTGTGATCATTCTAAATGTATTTTATTAGACTGAATCATGCAGTGAAGGAACACTCTAAATGCGCACGTGCACTAGTCTAGACTTCACGTAATGTATGTGTGCACTCTTTAGGGGTGTTTTGAATGGTTCTTGCAAAATACTCGATAATGTCAAATTGCACATTCTTAAAACAACAATTACGATATTATCGCAGACGATATGTCGCACACCCCTACATCACACCATCTTTATATTGTCAAATAACTAGCTAAAACAAAACTTATTAGAAATGAACACTTGAACATACATCAACGTTATAAGAATGACCTAAAATGATGCAAACTATCTTTGGGAAAAAGAGATTTAAGTTTGACCCGCGTCCCATTTGTTTACATGACAGGGTTTATAACCTATACTGCAGCCAGCCACCAGGGGGCGACCAAAATGTTTTGGCTTCACTTTTCAGGACGTGTGTGGCACACTTGTAGAGAACGTACTCTTTTTGCAGTTGCAAAGTAATTACTTATTCAGATAAGTACCTACTCGAGAGTATGCAATTTTGGACGCATCCAGTTGATCCAGTTAATTTCTAAATGAGTCAGCCATTTTGAATGAATCATTTGATTGAGTGAATCACTCATTAAGACAGTACTTGCCGCCACCTACTGGCAGTTTTAGTGTCATAATCATTTATACATTGGCAGGCCTAAACCAGCCAAAGTGCCAGCACAAAAAAGTCAGCAAAATATCATTTAATTATTGTTATCAACCATTATCGTTATCAAATATCGCACACCCCTACCTCTAATTAGTAAGGGAAAAAAAGTTTGTCATTAAAGAGCACGTCATATGGTTTTTTAAAGTGTCCTAATATTGTGTTGGAGTCCCCTACAACAGGTTTAAATGCATCTAAGGTCAGAAAACACTGTAATTTTCCCAGAATATATATTTATACATAGTCATTTGTCCATGATTTCGAAACGGTTCATTCGATTCAGTTCTGAACGAAATGTCTGTAAACCACTCCCTTCCATATGCCTACTCTGCTCTGATTGGTCAGCTGGCCAAGCCTGTTGTGATTGGCACAAAGAGGAGCGCTTCAGCAAGTTAGCAAGCGCTACCATCTGTGTTGCCAAGTCCGCGGTTGTTTTTGATGTCGCAGGTTGTAGTGACCCCAATAACGTCATATTTAGGCACTGGAATGCGAATTTTCCAGGGGAACCCCGACTGAAAGTGTGTATTTTACACCCCAGAACGCGATTTTTAAAGGGGGACCACCCTCGAAACACGATTGGGCTAGTTTTGAGTAGCAATTGGGCGGGTTTTGTTGTGACAACCTGGCAACCCTAGCATGCACCTTTGCATAAAACAATAATATAGTGCTCCAATCAGTTCTTAAAATAATGTCATAACATTTATTTTAACACTTATGCAAGTGAATCGTGCCCACAGCTAAAGTTTAGCTGCTAAACTGTAAACACTATCAAAACAATAATGGTGGATACGTTAGCCGTACCAAAATATGTCTACTGTAATGTCTGAAGAATGACAGGCAAAAGACGCTCCATGTCTTAACCTTTAATTATAACGCAGAACAGCTGTATCACATGCGCACCAGCCTAACTAACTAGTCTCTCTCTACCGGGTCTTTTACTCTCTGCATTAACCCTATAACTCTATAAACAGCACTTTCACAATGATTATAAAATCTGTGCGCTACACTACATTCTTTATTATTAAACAAAGTAATTAGAACAACGTCAGTCTACATTAATCGACACATTCTTAGAAAATAATGGGTTCACAGCGAATTATCAGAACTACTTAGGTAAAACAGTAATATTGTGCTTTACCTGGAAACCTAAAGCTGCACTAGGTATACATCACATATTAGCACAAAAAAAAACTTTTGAGCACTCAATTGAAAATGTACACATAACGTATCAATCGTACTTACAGGTTGTGGTTCGGAGACGCTTGTTGGTCCAAATAAAGAAGATTAGAAGCCAACAAAGATAAAAGCTAAGATTAGAGAAGCAGTCCTCGGTAAAATGACGAGCACAACAAAAGGTTCGAATTGTATTGCTGTGGTATCCTGGAACACAGCATCTTCTCGACACAGAGAGTGTTCATATTTCGTGGGCAGGCGGAGATTATGCTAATGTGTTACCCAGTGACGTAGATCGGTAACAGGCAGAAGATTCGAAAATATAACGACTCGTTAAGGCGATTCTGAGTCGACTCTTTCTTTTGAGAGACAATATCTTTATTTATCATGCACTTTTTTGATTAACAACTTTGCAGACCGTTTACATTGAAGAATAGCTACCTTACAAACTGCAAAAGAGATATTTTTAGAAAACCCATATGACCTGCTCTTTAATGTCAGGCATTTAGTTACTCTTGTCAAACAATTGTTGAGAAAGTGTATTAAATATTTCTGTTGACATTTTAAACTTTAATAATTTTGATGTTTAATAACTTCCTGCACTGACAATTCCAGCACTTCTTCTCTGTCTTATTTTGTTTAATGTGGGTCATAGTTACAGACTAACCTTCATTTTCTTTGTTAGTCCCCTATTCTGATATGCAGCCTTTGTAAGAGTGATGGACATTTGAAACAGGACTGTCCCGAGGACTTCAAACGAGTGGAGCTGGAACCCCTTCCACACATGACTCTAGATTTCGTCAAACTCCTTAATGATGTCTGTGAGCAATGCTACTGTAAGTACAGGGTCAATATTTAAAACATTATCTTCAAGACATTCCTATTTTGTTGTTGTTATTTGTGAGAACTAAACCAGAGGATGAAGAATATTATGGGTGTATGCAAACACATTTATTGTATTGTAATAAGGGTTGTCAAGCATTTCAATTTTAAATCTCATTAATTATGTGATGTGCTGATTAAGTAATGGAATTAATTACAAATAAATAAAAATTAATAATTTTGAATGAGAAATGACCCCCCAAAACAGTATTTAATGTCATTTTTGTGTTAGATGAAAAGTAACTTTAGAAATAAATATTTTGATTCCGTATTGCATAAATTATGATAGTACATTTTTTTGAAAGATGTATTTTTGGCATTTTTGCCTTAATTTTTTTTTTGATAGGACAGTATAGCAGTGACAGGAAGCAAAGTGGGAGAGAGAGAGGGGGGCTGGATCGGGAAAGGTCCACGAGCCGGGACTCGAACTCGGGACGCCTGGAGCGCAGTGGCACTATATGTCGCTGCGCTGCCCACAAGGCTATTGGCGCCAACAGCGTAATTTTTTTTTTAAGAAAAAAAAATTATATTGAAATATGAAATAATTAAAAAAAAAAAATAACTGGATTTGTGAGCTGGATATTTCTTAGTATTTCTTTCTCTATTTTGTTTTGTATGTAATGGGAGAACTGTACAGATGCTTATTTGTTAATGTGTATTTTTTTAACAGGAGCCAAGTTGGTTTTGTTTGGTTCATCCAAAAATGGGTTTGGCTTTAAACAGAGTGACTTGGACATCTGTATGACTCTAGAAGGCCAGGACACAGCAGAGGTACCGTCACTTATTCTTTCAATTGTACAAAAATTGTACAAAAATTTAAATTGAGGTAGGGATGTAACGGTATGAAAATTTCTTATCACGATTATAATGACCAAAATTATCACGGTTATCAGTATTATCACAGTATTGTTAAAATGTGCTGAAGATGTTAAAAAAGTACGTTATTTATCCAGAAAACATTTAATTTTAATTTGACATTTGCTTTCTTGCATTGCTAACAAGACTCGGTTGCCAGATGTCAAGAGTTTAAATCCCCTATTCAGGGATTTTTTTCTTAACTGGATACATTTTCTGCCCAGTGTTTTTCTTAATCTTCCCAAATTGACAACCATACACACGCTCTCTCCACACTACGGAAAAAGCACTAATGAGCTGAAAACACCGGCAAACCTGTAATATGGAGTTTAGCGATCTCCATTGAGTTGTTCTGCTCAAATAAAAGTGTAATACAGCCAGGCTGTTTTCTTTCACTCAATCTTTTGTGCTGTTGGCTGTGATTAAATCTGCGAGTTAACCATACGACTTGATGTTCTATTTATTTCTTAATAATTCTGATGAAAAGTTAAATAAATAAATAATAAAATGACAATATTTGTGATTAATTATCGTGATTATATTTTTGGACAATATAATCATGATTAACAGTTTAACCATAATTGTAGAGCCCTATTGTGAAATTGATATGCAAATAAATATGAATTGATCGATATAAATTTGAAATGTACATACATCTTCTAGATTTTTAATTGCTCTGTTTAACAAATGTTGAAATCTCGTTTGCACTAATTTTTTTGCATTGTTTCAGTGATTCATAAAAATGGTTGCATTCGTTTAGGTGACTTTGCGCCAGATGATGTGGAGGTGAAAGTCAGAGAACATATTTTACAAGATTTCGAGAATTTCCTGAGATGTCAAGTGCTAGGTAATGCGTCTTGGTGTAACTGTTTAAAACCTAAATCTAATTTAAACCCAATCTAAAAAAAATTGGTGACACTTTACTTGAAGCCTTTATGTATAATGCAAAATAAAGGTATTCATAATGTAATTGTAATGAATTGTATCTTTTCAAAAATGAGTGTAGCCAAAGTTAAAATGCATTATATTGTTTGAAGGTTTGTTTGTCATGTGTTTAATGCATTATACTGCACTTTCTAAAGGTGTAACAGTGAATAGATGAGTATTATATCTGTGGTTATAATTATTCATGAGATCATATGATGCATTATCAGGTGCATTACAAGACTAAATTAATGCATCAAAACTACTTTTATAATGCATTATACATAAAGGCTTAATAAAATAAAGTGTTACCAAGAATTTCATTTAATGTTGTCATACACTGACATATTTCTTCTTCTGCATTGCTGCATGACACAATGTCCAGGGATAATGCTGCACAAATCTCATAACTGTACATCTGTAAATAGCATATCTGTACATTGTAGTTATGTATATTGTGTATCTTCTTTATTTATTACTGTATTGTATCATATTTCAGTTTTATCCACCTTTTCTCTGCACCCCATGATGCTTTGTGTGAATTAGAAACTTGAAACAATCAGTGAAAGGTTTGCTCTATAATAAGCTGCAGTAATAAGCATTTTCAAAAACTGGATGCAGTGAGGTGACCTCTTCAACAATCAAATATTAAAAATAAATTATATTATATATATTAGGGCTGCAACGCAATTAATCACGTTCAAAATAAAAGTTTGTTTACATACTATATGTATATATAAATACACACACATTTATGTATATATTTAAAAAAATTTATGTATATATATTTATACTTGTATATAATTTATATTATATATAAGTATAAATATTTTATTTATAAATCCAACACATTTTTCCTTAATATATACATGAATGTGTGTGTATTTATATATACATAATAAATATACACAGTAAACACTGTGCTTTATGCTCGACAGTATTTATTTTTTTGTGAGTTGTTCAAATCGCAGGAATCTAATATGGTTTTAATGATAATTAATATATGAAACGGTAATACTAACCGTCGGGAATTTTATCATGATTTATCGTCAAACCGGTAATCGTTACATCCCTATTATGAAGTCTTCATGACATACAGACAGAAAGTGTTCATTACAGTGAGTCTGAATAGTGTTAAAACGGTTAGAACTGTTCTGTGTGTGCTGCAAAGCTGTTTATGTCATTGTTTTTACAGCTGTTACGGTGTTGCATTATCATAGCAAAGTTTTACTGTAAAAAGTAACTTTATACAGAAATATTTTTTTCAGACTACAATCACGTTAACACACATTGTTTACATGTTTTTTTAACATTTAAGAATCATCCCCATTCATTTCCATTGAAAGTGTCCCACTGTAACCCTTTTGTTTTTTGTGTTTGAAGAAAAGTAGGCAAAAGTGGAAATTAATTTTTGTTACTAATATTTTATAAAATATAAATAATCCTGAAAAATGTTATATATCAGTTTCCACAAAAATATGAAGCAGCACAACTGTTTTCAACATTTAATAAAATCGTACCCAGCCAGATGAAAAGACTGCAAAAACTTTATTTAGGCACTTTTTTAGACCCTGTTTACACCCCTATTTTGCATTGATCGAGTTTCTGGTTCCTCTGACAGGGTTTGGACTCCATGGCTGTTATAGAGAGTTTGACTAAAGCACTGCGAAAACACCATGGTAAGTTCTCCGTTTTAGTTTTTGGGTGTAATTATGAAATTGCCTGTTGTTTACATTACTGTAGAGGGCAAGCGCTCACTTCATTCAGTGTTCTTGAATCATATTTTGCATTATTATGGAGTTTTGACATTTTCAGGAAGGGAAAGACTATATTGTTTCTATATATTCCCCTCTCCGTACCTCAAATGTTCTTAATGATTGATGAAATGACAAAGAGCCCGTCTGTATGCTTCAGGCAACCTCCATTCACTTTAAAGGGGTCATATGATGCTTTTTTAAAGATCATTATTTTGTGTATTTGGTGTAACAATATGTTGACATGCTTTAATGTTCAAAAAACACATTATTTTTCAAATACTGTACATTATTGTAGGTCCTCTAAAGGAAAACTTGAAATCGCATCATATGACCCCTTTAAATGTGTGTTGTTAAAATAAATCAATGGTTTTGTTTTACACCCCATCTCTCTCTACCTCTGCCATGTCTATTTATCCATTCATTTTAGCCCTGAGAAACATCCTACCTATTACTACTGCAAAAGTTCCAATTGTGAAGTTTTACCACACCAAAACTGGACTAGAGGGAGATATAAGCTTGTACAATACACTGGTGAGAGAATAAACCTGACACAACATTGTTTAATGACACTGAATATTGCAGTTGTTTAAAGTGCTAAGAAGAGAGCAGTTTTATTATAACGTTATTGATCTTGGACGTAGTTCCTTCCTTATCGCAAAAATCATTAGTATTTCAGCATTGGACAAGTACTATGCATGTTTGGGTTTCTTAATGCCCCCTTAGTTCTTAAAATCTATTTTTTTTTATTACAGATTTTAATTTGGTCGGATGTCTTGTCATTAAATAGCCACTGCAGCATCTAAAGCTCAATTTTCGAAATGTAAATAAATAGCTTTTGTGATTTAGATTTGTTCATTATTTCAGAATTCATTATTTAGCTCTTGAAAAGTGCTTGTATGCTAAAATAAATTCATTTATTATTGCTAGTTACTGCCCACTTTTGCTCTCAAAAGGTACATTTTTCCACACGCACCACATTTGTTAATTTCATGCCTGTTAATTCAGTACAGTTATGAGAGACTTTATAGTCCAGTAAGAGTCATTTAGACAATATTATATGTATTTATTATAATTATGTTTAAGGGGTTGGTTTTTGTCCTTCAAATATATTTAGTTTGTGTTTTTTTGTTTCTCTCAATCTGGTCCAGATATTTAACTTGAACGTATTGCAAAGAGTCAGAAGTGAATGTCTATGTTCATCAATCAAGTATTTATGAATACAGTAGGTCAGGATCACTTCAAAATCACTTTAAGATTGTTACTTCTAACTAGCATAAAAAGTAGGGCTGGCAAAAATAATATATCCCCAAAAATCAATTTAATTGAGATATCAGTATTTGTATCAGTTATAGTGGCTTTCATTCATAGTAAAACTACATTTTTAAAATAGCAAATATGTAAAAATACTGTCTTGTTTCAAAGATAATTTGGTGACTTCAAATATATTTATGATCACAAACTTGAGGTGCAATTATTTGAGATAAATTGCAGAATTTTGTGCAGTTACTCTACTCACCCACTCTCCTGATCTTTCTGTTGTAAATTAAAAAATGTAGATACCAGTGAATTTTTTTTTATTATTTAATTTGTATGTATATTGTATTTATTTATTTTCATAATGTAAAGGAAAAACATAGTGACAAATATTGCATATTACAGTGCTTTTTTTGGGTGCTTACTATAATAACAAGGTACTAACCTTATCCTCACTTTAAATCCATATTAAGTCCAAGTAGTTAACTTCTATTTCTCACTACTTTCTCGTGTAAGTACACTGTAGGTGCACATATTGAAAAATAAAGAGCAACCAGGATTTTTCTCTTTTATTTCCTCAGGCTTTGCACAACACTGAGTTACTGGCATCATATGCTGCAATTGACATTCGGGTGAAGATCCTCTGCTACGTCATGAAAGTGTTCGCAAAAGTAAGTTTCACATATCGTCACTGTCATCACTGCTTCAGTCATAGAGATCGTAAAACTTTAGTGGCCATGTTTGAAGCTAGAATAAGAAAGAATCCAGCAAGTTGCTTTTGGTGAAAAGATTTAACATTTGGTTAAATGAGACACGTCAGATGTCATATATTTATCATGTGTGTGTTTTGAGGTGTGTGATATTGGCGATGCGTCACGTGGGAGTCTGTCTTCATATGCTTACACTCTAATGGTGCTGTACTTCCTTCAACAAAGAAGCCCGCCTGTTATCCATATACAAGCACTTGTAAACAGCAAAAATTAATTCCTACGTTTCATTACTTTCATGTAATATATAAGTGCTTGTGCGTTATTCCATAAAAAAAGTTAAATACAGGTTAAATTGGGACACTTATGATTGTCATTTTGTGTATATTTTTTATATTGCGTTAAGTACATCCTAACCTACTATATTATGATAAGACTGTATCTGAATGGATTTTGTGTATGTTTTTGTAGATGTATGTTGGGGAAAAGAAACCAGTAGTCCTTGTTGATGGCTGGGATGTACATTTCTTTAAGGATTTGAAGAACTTGGTAAGTGAGATTATTTTTAATAGCATAGCTGATTGTAATTTTAAAAAGTGTTTGTTAGCTTAAAATCATACTGTGCAAGTGAATCTGGACTTGAGTTTGGCTCCTATATCAGTTTTATTGTCCTAAATTATACTTTTGTACAACAATAACAAATAAAATTATTTTAACAGACTAGTGTAATCACTCACTAACTTTACTTGTGCAAAATTCTAATCCAATATTACAACTCGTTTACAGCTTTCACGTATTTGCTTTTAAAGCCTACAGAATCCTTTTAGTCTGTTTTTTAGTGTACAGTACAGTAGTCAAGTCACAAGGCTGCATTTGTTTGATAAAAAAATACAGTAAAAACAGTAATATTGTAAAATATTATTGCAATTAAGAATAGCTGTTTTCTGTTTGAATGTATTAACATTAAATTTTTTGCTGTGATGCAAAGCTGAATTTTCAGCATCATTACTCCAGTCTTCAGTGGCACATGATCCTTCAGAAATCATTTTAATATGCTGATTTGTTGCTCAAGAAACATTTCTGATTATTACAAAATATTACTGTCTTACTGGTTTAGTCCCCAATAAGTGTGGTATTGTTGTTGATTCCTAAGCATAAATACTGGCCGGAGTACAAAAAGAACAAGGAGTCTGTGGGGCAGCTGTGGTTTGGACTGCTGCAGTTTTACACGGAGATATTTGACTTCAAGGAGACTGTCATCTGCATCCGCAAAAAAGAGCCTCTCACCACCTTCAAGAAGCAATGGACCTCCAAACATCTAGCCATTGAGGGTAAGAGCAAATCAGACCAAGAACCTAAGAATATGCAGCAGTAACATTTTGTACTCTCCAGATATAAAGGTACAAAAGCTGTCACTGGGCCAGTACCTTTTCAAAACGTACACTTTTGCAACTTATTTAGCCCTAAAGGGTGCATATAAGTACGGTACCACCCCAGTGACAGATTTTGTACCTTTTTTCTGAAAGTGACATGTTTACTTTATATGAATAAGACTTTGCTTTAACTTATTTCTGCTCATTTCAATATTTTTAAAATGACATCCATCATTTTGAGAGATAAAATGAATGAAAAAGAAAAAACACAAAAAATAACATTTTGTACATATTTTATAATATACTTTATGAAAGTAGGCATAATGTAAAGCAGTACTTTTAAAACTAACATTTGTGTGTTTCTTTTAGATCCTTTTGATTTGAGTCATAATCTTGGAGCTGGTCTCTCACGGAGAAGTATGTCATGTTTTTGTTTTTTTCTTTTACTGTTGTATGTATAATCCTTCGTACAGACTCTACCTTTTATCACGTTACGTAGCTTTATATTCTAATGTATAAACCTTCAGCCACCATACTTAAAAGAAACACCTGCATTTAGCTACTGTTATCCTTCAATGACCTTGATTGTTTAAACCATGTGAGATTTTTAACTATTTCGGTGTTCTAAGGGTTCGTTCACACAAAACGTGTCTTTGCGTCTAAAAATGCGAGACTCAGTACTCAGGAATGGCTTTTAAAAAGCACAGCGCAGAATACTTCCTCCGCCTTGTTGCCGTCAAATATAATAGTTGCTATGCCAACTTGCTATTGTAAACAAAAGCTTGCAATGCTTGCCCCGCCTCCGGGGTCTTCTAATTTGTACATTTTGTTGGAACTGACATTGATGAGCGGCGCTGTGTGTAAAAGTTTTGATTCTTTTAACATAACACGGCATCTAAAAAACTCAAGCACAACTGAACTGACATACACATCTGTCTAGTGCATGCTTACATAGAAAACAATGGAAAAGTAGTGCATTGGAATGGAAAAACACATTCTGTGTGAACGGCCCTTAACCGCACTTATAAATATATAATAAATAGTAGTCAACCATTACTCATCCCTGCCTTTTTGAAAATGACCCTTGTCTTGATATCTTGTCGTCTAATGCAGTGTTTTTACCTTGTGGCTGTTTGTGTCTTTTGTTTGCAGTGGCGAGTTTCATCCTGAAGGCCTTCATCAATGCCCGCAGAGTTTTTGGCACCCCTGTCAGAGGCTTCCCACCAGAGTATTCCAATAAAATGGTTTGTATCCTTTACCTAGACCATATACATTCTGGGACACATTTTAGTTTGGTGACCAATTCTCACAATTAACTATTAACTATGACTTTTGCCTCAATAAACTCCTAATTAGCTGCTTAAAGGGGTCCTATTATGCTCTTTTACATTTTACAGAATTTGTTTTGGGGGTGTACTAGAACATGCTCTTATGCTTGGTGGTTCGAAAAACTGCATATTTATTATTTTTATTGTTATTTAATTCAAACATTATAACATGAATTGCAGTGAAACTGTTATACAGTTGAATTTATTTATACCATAGTCCAGTGTTTCCCAGGCTTTTCTGAAGACAGTCGGTTTCCTTCAGATATACAGTGATATAAAAACACCCGCACTCAGTGTATGGGAAACACTGTAGTATCAATTTAAGTGTAAATTCTGCAGATTACATCATTGTCCAGTATTGTCCTGTCAGCAATTTATTATAAAAACATTTTCATAATTGTAACATACATATTTACATACATAATTATTCAGGTGCATGACCTAACACACACAGTTTCACCCAATCTCATGTTACACTTGAGTACCTATAAAGTAGTATTGCATCCTTCATAGAGTCTTTAGTTTTATCATATTAATAAAAGAAAGATACAGCTCAACCCTCTACATTGTGAGTAAATCACTCGCATATGCGACTAAATCTTCACTCTGGGCGACTAAATAGTAAAAGTTACTCAAAATAAAACTACTCCAGTAAAGTACAGATACTTGAAAAATTTACTTAAGTACAGTAACGAAGTAAAGCTACTCCGTTACTGTCCACCACTGCCAAAAACAGCCGAGCTCCTGGAGGCGCCGTGGGCGGGGCTAAAGAGTGACGAGCACTTGAGCACCGATTGCCAACAAAACACAGACATTTGATGCAGTTTCACTTACCATCTGCAGTTCTGAATCATTACCGGGATCTTTTATAGCTGGGACCACTCCATCTTTCAGTATCAAACGATGTGCAAATCCAGCGTCGAACTGGGCAT